CCCTTCCAACCCTGGCCATTCTGTGATTCTGTGAAATAATCAGTGATAAGATTCCAAAACACCCAGCTGTTGAGAAGTAGGAAAACTTCAGGAAACGGGAATTGCAATAAAATAGGAATGGCACTTTTAGCTACTGCAATTTCCTATATGCTTCTCATTCACAGGAATTTTTAAAGATGAGATTACAGATGATAAATAGGTCAGATAGGCTACCAGAACTTAGATTTCTGAATGTCAGTATAGGAAGACAGCAAAATTAATACACATATACAGTGCTCTATAGATTAAAAATGGCTAGAGAAAGTTATGCCTGCAATAACCAATGATAATTACACTGGATGAATGAAAATCAGGGCAATATTCATTTCTGAAGAGCAGAAAGCTGACTGTATTCATTAGTAGGACCTGCTAACAAATGAGAAATGAGGGTATATTCCTTTCATTTCTACCAAACTTCCTCCTGTTATGCAAGAGCTTATCTGAGTTGTATTCTAAACTAGCAGTCTGTTGCATTTCCAATTAAATGGAAACTGTCATCCAGTTGTTCTCTGCATCTGTATTCCTACATTCTATGCTGACTGCACTCAACTTAGAGGGCTAAACTGATAACTACTACTTAGTGCATTATCTTGTAGCATCTCAGAAGTCACACAGCAGAGCTTGATCGGCTTCTGCAAATAGCATCAATGCAGATAAGCTCCAGATACAAAGTCAGATAGTAAAGAACAGTGGCAAGGCCTTGTGTTACGGAGAACCTTGATTTGCTGATAAATGCTGAATCCTGGTAGTCTGTTCTGAGGCTCACTCTCTCTTCTCTGGTTAAGTCAAGATACCCTGGCATTCAGTATCTAAATCTCTTATGAAGTTTTAGTGCAGAGAAATAGACACCAGGGAAAGAAACAATTTCCAGATAGCTGCAAAGACCCATGTGAACTCCACACAGGAGAGGAAATAAATAGCAACAAAAATTAGGCAAAATCCTAAGGAAAACTTGTAACTTGAATGCAGTGTTGCACTGGTGCAGCCTTCCTACAGAGGCTGCAAAATCACTTATAAATTCACAAAATCACTTATAAATTGCTTTTCATGAATAGCTTAAATAAACATTTTTCAAAAGAAATTCAGCCCTGGGGCAAGAGGAGGGACTGTACAACCTCAAGCCATTGTTCAAAGCAATCTTTTTTGACTATTATCTAAAAATCTCTGCAGAGCTGTAGGCTGCTAACAGCAGTTATATTTCACTGGCAATGCCTGATTTTCAGTTGCTCATGAACTGGCTGCTGCTTAAATGTATGTCGTTAAAACCTCCGAGCTTTTCCAGGCTACCAAGGAGTGTACTGCAGAGGTGATTATTCTGTCTCATGGTGTTGTACACTTCTCCTTCTGACTTTTCCTTTTCCCTCCCCTGTAATTCTGCCCAGGGTCATGCTGTACCCTGCACAGTAGCTGGGAAGAAAAAGATTTTTAAAAATGTTGTCTCCAAAGTGGTGTATACCAGGGTTTCAGAGAATCGAGGTCTCTCCCTCTGAACACTATCAATGTTTCCAGAGCAACATGATGGCCAATGTCATAGTCAGATTGAAAAATGGGGTCTTCATGATAGAGGAAAATGTTCCCTTACCTTCCACGTGACAAAAGCAAAGATTTTTCAGGCACTCAGAAAGAGGAGGAAGATGAAAAAGAGTATAATGAGAATTATTACTGAAATCGATCCTTCTCCTTCAGGATGACCTGCTTAACAACTTTTGAGTAGACTCCAAAGCCAGATGTGCCTGAGAATAAAAAGATACTTCTCAAAGAGTGCTATTGGAGCTTTGTAGTACCAGGTCAAGATATTGCTCATTTTGTGCTATTTCTATCTGAAATATATATATATATATCTTATTGGTGACTATATTTAAAGGAAAGAAAGATCATACTGTACCTGAAGCATCAGGATGATAGAGGCTGGGAGCACTCGCTATTTCTCCTTGCTGATGAAGACAGGCTCCTGAGGATCTTTGACTTGCAATGAGGATCCTGCTTTTGGCAGACGGTAACCTGGAGACTGCACCCAGTCCTAACTGTGGCTTAAGTATCATGGCAGACCGATAAAAACTTGGTGGGACCTCGTAGTGAGTATACGGTGGAGGACAAAATTCGTCTTTTGCAGGCCTTTCCCCAACCTAAGGAAAAATCATGAACACAGATGTTATGCAATATATCAATATGTAGTCAGCATATGGATCTCTAAATTGCTCACAAAAGCTATTTTTCCCTCCTTGTCAATCTGGGTGTCAGGCCCCTGTAGACTGCTGGTCAATTTTAAGAGGAATGGCCTAACAATATGAACCCCTCTCCACAAATAGAATCACAGTGTCATAGAATCATTTGTGTAGGAAGGGACCCTTAAAGGTTTCTCTGCAGTGAACAGGGACACCTACAGCTAGATCAGGTGCTCAGAGCTCCATTCAGCCCAACCCTGAATGTCTCCAGGGATGGGGCATCCACCCCCTCTCTGGGCAACCTGTGCCAGTGCTTCACTACAACAGGCTCTTCACATGTTACAAGAACTAAATCCAACCAAACCCAAATAAAGAATTGACAGCTACCCAAAAAGCAAATAGACAAACAAAAATAACTTCAGTTAGAGAAAATGAAGCTATTGTCAAGTCCTGACAGGTGATGTTATTTAAATAGGTGGATACACGAAGAGTGTGCAACTGGAATTATTATTAGAAGTTATTTAAAATATGCTTACTGAGATACATGTACTTTTAAAGGGAGTCTGTTTTAACTTAAATAGTTACACATAAAGCTGAAGCTATTTTAAGTTCTTTTTATGGGAGAAATGGGATTGTCAAATTGTCTGCCCGTGAGGAAATCTCTGCATACCCTTACATCCTTACTGCAAAATATGCAGCATAATCTGTGCCTCTGAGTTCCTGAACATACCCACATGGAGAGGTGTACATGTTGTGTATGCTATGTTTTCAGAGGGCTGACAGAGTATTCCAAACCAGAGCTATAAAACACAGCTGGCCATTCAGCAGCATAAAATGCCCATCCTGGGCTGCATTAAAAAAGGGTGCCAGCAGGGAGAGGGAGGTGAAGGAGGGAGAGCTCTTGTGAGGCCCCATCTGCAGTACTGCATCCAGGCCTGGGGCTCCCAGGACAGGAGGGACGTGGAGCTCTTGGAGCGGGTCCAGAGGAGGGCACTAAGATGATCAGAGGGCTGGAGCACCTCTCCTGTGAGGAAAGGCTGAGGGAACTGGGATTGTTTAGCTTGGAGAAGAGAAGGCTCCAGGGAGACCTCATTGTGGCCTTCCAGTACTTGAAGAGAGCATATAAACAGGAGGGAGAATGGCTGTTTAGCAGGGTGGATAGTGATAGGACAAGGGGGAATGGTTTTAAACTGAGACAGGGGAGGTTTAGGTTAGATATTAGGAGGAAGTTTTTCACTCAGAGGGCTGTGACACTGGAACAGGCTGCCCAAGGAGGCTGTGGATGCCCCATCCCTGGAGCCATTCAAGGCCAGGCAGGCTGTCAGCAGAGAACATGTGGTTGAGTGAAGACCTGGTTCCTTGGTTGAGCCCTTGCATCCATGACCAGACCCTTACTTTTGTGCACTGCTTTCCCAGACTCAGGACTAGGGCATAAAACAATGCCAGAAGCTCTCTGGGCTTTCATCTCTCTTGTTTGCAAAGAACTGTTTGCTCTTCTGAGTAAAGATCAACTTCTCCAGCATTTCCTTATAAAATGTAAAATCCTCGTAATCTAGAAAGAGCCCATAAATATTTCTTCAGCATACTTTATTTAGGGCAGAGGAAAAAAAAGTGGCTTAGGAAATAGTAATTCTGAACTAAATTTGCTTAAAAATTAATCAAAAAAAAAGTGCCATCAGCTACCTAAGAAGAAAAGTAACTGGCAATTAATTAACTCTGCTGCAAGTTATGACGCATATAATATGCCAAATCAATTTCTATTTAGCAATTATAAGCATTTAGAATATGCACTTTAACATTGGCTATAAAACCTTTGATCTGAGCTGCTTCAAGAGCTTTAATCCTAATTTAGCAAATCTTTAATTTGCTAAAAGAGACAAGATAGGCCTTAAACCATTAAGTATGGAATCTTTGAGGTCTCTGCACAGGAACTAGGTGGACAGAGGCAACAAACAGTGTTACATTTTTGCTCTATATTTTTTTCTTTCTTTGTAGTACTATTTCCTGCCATGAGATATTTCAGTTTCCCTTTTTCTTGATCTACTTGTACAAGTTGGGATGCAGGTTTTCACTCTACCGATGATTCTCTGTGCCTTAGCTGCTTATTTCCAATTTCTGCATATAAGCCTGTTTTTTTTTTCTGGATAAGATTCCATTATTTTTTTCTCCCCAATCACAGAATCACAGAATGGCTTGGGATGGAAGGGACCTCAAGGATCATGAATCTCCAACCTCCCACTGCAGGCAGGGCCACCAACCTCCACATTTAATATTAGACCAGGCTGCTCAGGGCCCCATCCAACCTGGCCTTGAACACCTCCAGGGACAGGGCATCCACAACCTCTCCATTCTCTGATGAATTTATTTCAATCAGATTTCACTATACTCTTCTTATCCTCTCATACTGACTGCCAAAAAATAAACCAAATGTATTTATGCCAAATACTTTAGTATGAGGAACAGGGAAAATCCTTAAATATAGAATGCAGGCAATTCTGATAAACTGGGTCAGCTTAATGAAACCTCCAGTTCATCTTTATTGACAGCATGCTACAGGTAACAAAGATATATGCACACATAACAATTGCAAGGATAAAACATTTTCTCAAGCTGAGAGAAGTAAGAAGGATTTACCCAACTATCTCTCAGGAAATAGATTTGTTTCTGAGCTCATAGAGAGACATAAACTTGTTAATAAGACACATTCCTTTTTCTTTTGTATTAAACAGTGAATTTTTCAAGCGCAGGATTTAACTGGTCCCCATAGAATCATATGAAACTATTGATTATAAGGCCATTACAGAGCTGCTAAAACAGATTTGGATTAGTACAGCCCATCCACTAACAGGACGCTCGGCTCAGAACTGTACTGTGCATTTCCCACTCCTCCCATTTAATGAACTTGTCAGAAAGAGCTGGAAAGTCTGTAAGCAAACACATGAACCATTTGGGAATTTCTGCAGCCTGGTTAACTCTGAGCAGAGCTGGCAGACCTGCCAGCAGGTGAGGTTGCTCAACACCTTCCTTCATGTTGCTTTGTTTATAATGCTGTCAAACATTAAAGCCTCAGAGACAGCCCTCGAACCTTCCTCAGGCAGGTAGTGCCCAAGACAGCACCTCTCTGTCACTTCCAGCTCACGGCACCCAAGGGGGCATTTAATTGTGCCTACTGCTTAGCTAGCTGAAGGCTGCTTAGCGATTACAGGTCTGATTGATAGAAGCTATTAATACTCCCATCATAGATATGTAAAGAGCTATAAAATGCTGATCAAAGCCCAGATTGGATACGTGAAATAGGGCAGTCTGGGAATGTTTCCCTCACTAAGTTAATGTAGAGTGGTCATCTTGCTCCAGCATGAATTTGTCAACAAAAGCTCTGAGTCTTCACCATGTCAATTTGCCAGGGTGATTCTGATCTACCTGAACCTATTCTAATTGCTTTCCTTTTACTTGAAAGACCCACTCAATCATATTTATAGGGGGATAAGATGCTTTGGGCTCTCTCCAGAAAATAAATGTCATCCTGCTAACTCTACTCTAGAGTAAACCACAGTGCACAGCTGCCACAACCTGAGCCCTTTTCAGGCTAAGAACAGTCCTCCACAGTTACCAGAAATTGGTCCTTTGTTTCCAGCTGTTTTAGCTAATGTTGCCTGATTTTTTAAACACCAACTGTATGGACTGTAGAAACCTATGGTCTAGAAAATCACAGAATGGTCTGGGTTGAAAAGGACCACAAAGATCATCTAAAATTCCAACCCCCCTGCTATGTGCAGGGTCGCCAACCAGCAGACCAGGCTGCCCAGAGCCACATCCAGCCTGGCCTTGAATGCCTCCAGGGATGGGGCATCCACAACCTCCTTGGACAACCTGTTCCAGTCACCACCCTCTGGGTGAAAAACTTCCTCCTAATATCTAACCTATATCTTCTCTGAGCTTAAAACCATTCTTCCTTGTCCTATCACTATCAAACCATGCAAACAGTCATTCCCCCTCCTGTTTATACGCTCCCTTCAAGTACTGGAAGGCCACAATGAGGTATCTCCAGAGCCTTCTCTTCTCCAAGCTAAAGAAGGTCATGTCACCCTATAAACAGCCAGATAACTGCACAGCCTGCATTACACTGGTTTTAATTTCAGTTAAATGATAATAATTCAGCAATTTTCTCTCACCTTACAGGGTGACTGTGAAGATACTCTAGTAATGGCTAGCACAGACAAGCTCACAATGACTTCAGTAATCTGTTCTACAAATGCAAAATGTAAGGCATAGACTATGGAACCTGAATAGGAAGGGCAGCAAGCATTTTGCTTGAAATGATATAATACTCTTACAGAAACCTATACTCCAAGATCACTTCAACAGTTGTCTGTTAACATGCAAGGAGGGCCAACAGATGCTCACACATGAGATTTTAATACGGGTATTTGCTGGCTTCTGATTGCCAACTCTGTCACCAAATCTGTTATTTCAAGGCTGTTCCTTGGATAAATACTGTATATAGAAGGAAGTAGGTATACAAAATGAGTAATTTTTTTTTTATTTTTAATTTTAGGATTAGTTCAAATTAAATACAGTTGTGGGATCTTTGGTATTTACACAGAAAGCTTGTCTGTTGAGCTAACTACCACAGGTCCAAAGCAGTAGACTCAAGGGCACATCACAGACCTAAATATAACCCCCTTTTCCTTGTCCTTTCACCACCTACCAAGCAACATCAACTACTGTGCTCACCTCTCAGCATGAACTGCAGGGAGCCAGCACTCCTGCCTGGCTTACAGGGCTGTGGAAACACAACCAGATTTAAGGGCTCAGAACTGGGCAGAGGGAGTTCCATTATCTTTTGGCTGCTGAGGAAGAATTTCCAAGGAAAGGAGTTTTCTTTTTTTAAGATGTTAGGCAGTAGAGCACACTGCTTAAGAAGAGTCAAAAGGAAATCTTTTCCCACATGAAGTATTCTAATGAAATCTGACAGTTCCTGTTTTTCTGTATAGCTTAACAGAAGAGAATGCATATGGACTGCTAGTGCTCCGACTGCAAAAACCTGCCAAGATTCCCATTAAGGAGGAAAAGTCTCTGTGGGCAAACTACGTTAATTTCCCAAAGATGTTCTTTGGAAAAAAACAGAAGTTCCATTTAAGGATAAATTCAAACAGCATGCCTTTTCTTATCTAAACATCCCTATTTATACACTAGCAGGTGACTGGTATGCTGGGAAATGCTGGAGGAACACGGTGACAACTTCCAGTCACAGATCAGACACCACATCAAGGTCAGTGCCAGAAAATGTTACGTTTATTTCTAATCATCACATACTGCTTTGCTTTAGGATTTACTTCTTTAAGGTTTGAAAACTAACATACAAAAGTGTCAAAGCCACCTGCTTACCTCCTGCAGAAACTTCTCACCCATTGGACCAAAGTGATGACCTGGGGGTCTAATTCCTGACACCACCAGTCCAGAACTGAAGAGCCTTGGCTTCTGGAGGTCAGGTTTAAATTTGTCATACAGGATGCCGGGTGCCTTGCCCTCCCCTCCACCGGATGCCTTCTGCTCTGTGGAGATGGGCACTGGGCATGCTGCTGTACCGTACGGCAGCCCTGCTGGTGCAAATGAAGGGTCAAGTTGCTCTATTGAACGCGGGTTTCTTCTGATGTATGTGATGATTTTAGGTCTCACAGGTTTGGGCTTGGGTATGGCAGGTTTCACCTCCATGCTTTCTTCCAGTTTCTCACTGCAGTCACTGTCCACATCCACCTTATCTGCAAGGGAGCCCTTGGAGTGGACCAGGATAGGTTTGGGGATTGCGCTGCTGCTGGCAGTCTTTATAGGCACTTTGGGAGATATGTTCATCAACTGTGTACTGTCAACAGGAGGTAGGACTGAGGAGGGTGACAGTTTGTCAACGGGAAGTGCATAAATGTCCTTCAAATTACTGTTTGATAGAGTGGGCTGACTGTTAACATCCAGCACTGCCACCGGGCGCATATGAGTTGGAACACATAAAAAAGTTTCAGCCTTTGCTGAAACCTTAGAGCTCTCTGATGCTTCTTCTGGAGGATGTTTCTGTGCAGGAGCTGTCTTTTTACTTGGAACTGAGAAGTTTTCCACATCACTGACGTGGTTGTCAGGCTGTTGGTTTGACACTGTCTCTGCACTGCATGCTCTGTCTTGTTCAGAGAGATCAGAAGCAGGCACAGCAGCATCCTCAGTGCTACCTTTGGCCAGCATCAGTTTATTCTCATTAACTTGCAAGGGTTTGCTGTCAGGTAGATTCATGTTATGTATAAGAGATACCTGTTCACCAACTGTTCCAGTACAACCCGCATCAGCTTCACGTAAATTTTCATTTTTTCTAGGTGTCACTTTGCTACTGAAATTACCATTGCAGGTGAGTGGGAATACCGTTTCCACTTCTCTGTCGTCCTCACTAACCTGGGTCACTGCTCCACTGTCACTGTCATGGCCTCCTCGTCCTTCCCCATGGTTGGTGAAGTTATCAGTCTGTAATTTGTTGTCAGAATAGGTTACAGCCTGATTTGACAAGGGATCCTCTGCTTTATCGCAGATGTCTTGAAAATGGGATGTTTGAAATGTTGATGCGTCAGATCCAGACTCTTTCTGTTCTTTCACTGTTCTACTTCCATCTTTTTTACATCCCAGAAACTCTACAACCATAATTCTCTCAATCTTTTGTTGACATGTGTTTTTAGACTGTAGGGATGGTGCAGCCTTAAGCTCCAGTTTCTTACTTTTATCACCCTGACTTAATTGCGCTTCTGATTTACTAGCAATCTCACTGGGCTTAACAGCTGAATGATGATTGGTATGAGAAGTATGCAGTGTGCTTTCAGTGTTAACATTTGGTACATTTTCTGGTTTACTTATTTTCTTGTTCCCTGAGGTAGATGGTTTAGAATAAAAGACAGTATTTTCCTCTGAGGTATTGTCGAGTGGATGAAACACCATCCCGAGAAAATGATCTGTGGAAGTTTTTTGTGATTTCTCTGTATTTCCAATCAAATGGTGTGACCTGTCAATGGAATCCAGTGATGCGGAAAGCAGACGTTTACAAGACACGCGGCCAACACATTCTTTCGTAAGTGTTTCAGATTGAGGAGAAAATTTACTGGGTCTGCCCAAAGACAGCCTTTTTATTCGTTCCATCTCCACAGTCTTGGACATTTTACTCTTAGGAAAATTCTGGGTGAAGTCAACATCACCTTTGGAAATTATCTCCAGGTTAGCATCATTTGTGCTGCTTTTTAAATTGGACAGACTTTGTCCTCGGCTAATCCTGATATGTCTTGCCATATCCCTAACTTCGCTGGTCCTGCTGTCCTTCCCTATTTCCCTGCTTGTGGTTGAGGGCAGCTTACTTTCCTGTACACTGGTGCTACAGGTCCGAGAGTCTCTGAACACCTGTTTATTCTGTTCTATATCCAGACAAGTAACTCTCTCTGATCCTCTGGAGTGTACATTTCCACCCTCATCTATCAAACCCTGTTTCTTGATATCTCCTTCCGTGGTTCCAACTTTTGTCACAATTTGGTTGGCATTGCTATCCCCCACGCTCACTGTGCTTTCATTATTATTTTTTATTTCACTGCGGTTGTCCTGAAGCTGGGAGTAACATGACTTGTTTGGGATTAATGGAGCACTCATTCTGAAGTTTCCAGTGACTGCCTTTTTGGCAGCTGTAGGTAACGAGAAAGCCTTTTTCCCCTATCAGATTAACTAACTATTGTACATGCTTCAGTTATAGGCTTAAATTACAAACTGATCAGTAAGAAACTCTTCAGCAGAAAGCTCGGAGCCTATTGTCAAAGTCACATTTTTGTGCTGCTCAGTTGCCTTCAGTGCAACTTCTGGATCCAGGAAATCCTTACGACGTGCAGTAAAGAGTTTCAACGAAAGCAAAATAGATCTGTCAAGTTTCCTCTGAATGACAGCCAGTTAATCCAGCCAACCTATGAGAAGACAAAAAAAAAACAGACATTACATCAATATCATGAATTATACTAACTAAAAATAAAGTTAGATCTGCAAACTTCCAGAATGGAGTGCTTTCAAACAGTTCAGATTCTCTTTCAGCCACAGCTTTGCCCCCAGCAAAGTTTCCTAATGTAGCCCAGATCTCTGACTTGAGAAGACATAGTGAAAACTGTCCTGGTTAGAAGAGCAGTTGGTACTGCTTTTAAGACACATAGATTTAAAACTGTTGATAGCTGTAAACAGCTAAGTGAAGACAGAACCCCACATCAAAGCTCTGAGCAGTTTCATACTGCAATAACAGTTCCTTTATTGCACCAAGATTTGCTACTGAAGCATTTAAAGCACTACTGTAGAGAAAAGAAATAAGTATTAAAATTCCAGATCTATTAGGGGATGTTTGTGGGTTTCTTCCTTTGTCTTGCACAAATCACTGTTCTGCTTGTGCTCCGTCTCATGCTGAGCTGCTCTCGCCTGCACCTCCATGTCCCTTCTGCTGAGCTGCTTTCCAGACAGGGACTCAACAGCATCTCCCAGTTTAGTGCCATCAGCAAACTTGCTAAGGATACATCCAGATCACTGATGAAGATGATGAGCAGAACTGGCCCTGGAACTGAGCCTGGGGAACATCTCCAATGGCAGCTTCCAGCCAGATGCAGCTCCATTCATTGCAGCCCTTTGAGCTGCAGCCAGTTCATCTCTCAGCATAACACGAACCTGTTCATCTCACAGCTGGACAATCTGTCCAGAAGGATGCTGTGAGAAAGAGTATCAAAGCCTTACTAAAATTCAGAAAGATTACATCCATGATGTAATCAGATCCCCTTCATCCACTAAGCAGTGATGTTATAGTACATAGAAGGATATCAAATTACCAAATACCAGGCACAGTCAGTGTGGGCTCAAAGGGGAAGTCCTGCCTTAGTAATTTGACAGGCCTATAATTTGCTGGGTCTTCTTTCATGCCCTTCTTGTAGATGGGTATGATGGTGGCTAGCAGCCAGATGGCAGGGATCTCCCAAGACTCCTAAGACCTTTGGTACTTTATTGTGAGGAGTCCAGCTGTAACATCTGCTGACTCCTTCAGTATTCCGGGGTGAATCCATCAGTCCCTGTGGACATGTGAACGATAAGCTGAAATAATTTTGGTGAATGGAAAGTCTTTGTTCCCACAGTCATGAGTCTTCAACTCAATGACTGGGTAGCATTAATATTACAAACTAAGGCAAAGAAAGTATTAAATGCTTCTGTCTTTTCCTCATCCCCACTCATTAGGTGACCATCTTCATCTTCTGTCCATGTTGTGCCTCAGATATCTCAGATCTGAGATTCTCTCAGATATTTCTTGAATAGTTCAGTACTCTATACAACTAAAGTATGGACAATGGAAATCAGAATGTGTTCACACTACACAGAATTCAAAGCACCTGCAACACTCCCAGCAGTGCTGGGTTTCTAATCAAGCACTCACAGGGACTCTAATTAAAAGTGCTGATTAAGTCTCCTGCTCTATGCATAGAGTCTAGGTGAAAGGCTGAGCTCATGTTTCTAACACCTGCTATAAGTGGATCCTCCCAGCCTGTGCAGTCATTCAGCTCTCTCACAATAACTGCCTTTGAGCTCAGACCTGGTTTCTCTACATGAGGCACACACACATTTTGTATGAGTCTTGATTCTGGGCTCCTGGCATAGCTCCATCTCTTCGGCAAACAATAGCTAATTAAATGAATACATGAAACAGAACACAGCAGTAAGGATTTCACTTCAGCACCACAGAACTGTATTTCAGATCTCATCCTCAAAACATTTTAAGTAGGACTTTTAAGCTACATCTTTGTTCTGTCCTTTTTCCCACATTAAAAACAAACAAACAAAAAAAGTATTTATTAAATTAAATATATGCATTGATTTCGGGGGGGGGGGGGGGGGG